TGGCAATGGGTATTATTGTGTGTATTATGGGTGCATATTATCCTTTCATACTGCACATCCCTGCAGGACATATTGCCATCCTGGGTATGGAGACACTTTCTGAGCGAGACAAGAGCGCTGTGTCCTGTGCATGGAAAAGACAGGGTTTGTGGTCTCAGCCATTCCAGGTGGCTGAGGTCTTCACAAGTCCTGCAGGGAAGCCAGTACTTCTGAAGAAGACCATCAAAGGATTCCAGCAGATTCTGGCAGGTGAATCTGACCACGTCCCAGAACAGGCCTTCTATAGGGTGGGACCTGTGGAGGATAGTGTGACAAAAGCTGCTAAGCTGGCCAATGGGCATGTGTGAGGGGTCGTTTTGGCAAATTTAGCACCACTAGTCCATCGTCCTTCTCCTTGCCCCTAATCCCAAGGCTCTGTGCAGGTCTGTCTAAAGAGTATTTACAGTTTTCAATAAAATGTACATTCCTATCCTAAAAAAAAAACTGCAGGGACAGGGTAGGTGCTCAGCAAGTGTGGGCAGAACCCCTCCTTGCCCTCACATACGGCTGGTCTTTCCACTTCGACTGTAAGTTCCTCCTGGATGGGGCTGTGCCTCTTACCCCTAGTCTTGGGGCGCAGGGAAGTGGCGGTCTGGGGCTGGGGTCCTAACACTCTACTTGGGGCCCCGTCCTCAGCGGGTAGTCTTGAGTGGGTAGTGCCTGCTCTGGTCCCTCTCTGCCACCCAGGGGACCTGACCAAAGCCAGTGGACTCTCGGCAGCTGGCAGGGTCAGAATGTGGCCACCGGGGGGCAGCAAGACCTAGGTTGTGAGTACCTGGGGTGGGCATGGGGGTCAGGGTGAGGTGGCTCCAGCCCCAGACACTGTATCTAACTTAGAGAAGCCCCCTACATTCCCTGCTGCATTTTCTGCTCCATTCCCAGAGGGTGGGACGTGGAAAGCCATTCCAGGCTGGGCCTCAGCTGTCGTCCAGAGGCTATCCACTGGGTGCCTGTGCCCCGGGTGCCCACTGTGGCCTGCCCTGGTCACTCCTCTCCCAGGGGAGGGGAGCTGGCTGGGCACAGATTCTGGCCTCTTCAGAGTGTTCAACAGCACCAGCTGATGCCAAGGACTGATATTCTTGAGGGATGGTTTGTTTCCCCAGGGCCAGGAAAACAACAGCTTGTGGGGACCACCAGGGCTTGGTGTCCCAGGGCTGACTGCTGCAGCCTGGTCACAGTTGTCCCCATGGTTGCCACTGCCATGCACATGGCCTCCTGCCACCCTTCTCAGCCAGCAGCCCCCTAGCGGTCGCCTCGACTGCTTCCTACCCCCTGCAGCCTCTGCAGGACTGACCCCTTCAAATCTGTCCCTTAGGCTTTTCTCAGGATCTGAGCCCTGCAGAACTGCCCTTCTCTCCTCCCTGCTTTCCCATCTGTTATTTGCTCCTTTCTCTTTATGACTTCTTTTAGATTATTTTTTATAATTCTATTTTATCTCTTGTTTTTTTAGTAGTAGCTATGGATGTTCATTTTGTTGGTTTAGTGGTTGCTTTAGGGGTCGTAACGTACATCTTTTACTTTCCACAGTATTCATTCAGGTGATGTATTGCTTCACATAGCGTATAGGAACCTTAACAACAGTTTACTACTATTTACTTCTCTGTCCTTTGTGCGATTGTCATACGATTTGCTTCTATATGTGTTGTAAACCTTAAACGACATTGTTTTTATTTTTGTTTAAACAGTAATTTATCTTTTGGCGAGATTTAAATAAGAAAAATGTCTTACATGTTTATTTACCCTGTAGTTACCATTTCTGGTGCTCTTCATTTCTTTGTATAGATCCAGATTTCCACGTGTTATCCAATTACACATATATTAATCCTCTTGAAGTTGCCCTTCAGTTCACTAATATTCTAGTCACTATTTTTTACAGTTTATTTTCTATCTATCCCAGCACCTCAAATGGCATCTGGCACACCACAAGTGCTTTTAATCAGATACCACAGGGCAAAATTCCACGCACACGCACACATCCATTAGTCTAATCTTCACGGTCTGTCACATGCACTCCTACTCCACTCTCCACGAATCAGTTCCTGTCTATCATAGCACATTCTCACAGTTAACATCACAAATGTCACATAAACTAACACAATCACAGACATGGTCACAGAAACGTAGCATGCCCACCCCAACATATAAAGTTTTACACAGTTACATTTACAGAAACACACACAATGACGAAAAGGATGATGCACCTGTTCACAAAATCACATCACTTGGTTAGCTTTAAAAGATGCTGATGGCACTAGACAGGCACTTGTTATGTGGAGATAATAAACAAATATTAATTTAAAATATAAATGCTTTGTGTTCTAAGGGAGTGTAGAGTTGGAATAAGGAGCCAGGGAGTGCCAGGGAAAAGATGTGATCTGGACAGGCCACTTTGGAGATGTGACATTTGCACCTGAATTTACGAAGAAAGGGAACTTTGAAGACAACTGGTAGAAGAGCTATTTTAGGTAGAGGAGACACATTCACACCTATCATCAACAAATCACAAATACAGGAACCACAAGTAAAGGGTGACACTCTATGACCTAATCCCGCCCCTCCCATCTACTAGGTAACCAACCTCGAAGCAAGGAATCCGGGGAGAGGGTTAGGAGGATGGGGAGGGGGGAACTGGACGCAAGCATAATACGCTTGCGCACTACAGCTCCCTGCCCCCACTTTGTTCGAGTACCCCAGCACAATCCAAGGAGCTCACAGTCCCCACCGTGCCGACACACGCGCGCGCACTCGCGCACGCCCCCACACAAGCCCCTCCCCCTGCGGCTAGCGCGCGCCGTAAGGTCCCCGCCAGGTTGCTAAGGGAGGTGGGCCGCGCAATGGGGCCTGCGCACTGCAGTCCCTCTCCGTCTCCGGCGACGCTCGGCCCGACCCCTGCGTCCGAGCCAGGCTCAGAGCTGAAAGGAATCGGGACTTCAGGGCTCCGCTCTGGAAGGCTGGGGAGAGGCAGGCGTGGGAGGACCCTGTGCGGAGAGGGCGGAGCTAGGACGCCGGGGCCGAGCCGCGTCCGCCTTTCCTGCTCCGGACTACGTTTCCCGGTGGCCCCTGCGGGAGCCGGGCCGGCGGCCCCTTTGTGTTCTCCTGAGGCCCAGGCAGCTGAAGTGCTTCTTTCCCTGCCAGCCCGGGGCTGGGTTCCATCCAACTCTTCGGGCCTGGGGCGAGGCCCGAGTGGAGCGCCCCTAAGCCCTCGAGGCGGGAACAGGATCTTCCCGTAGGTAGGGAGTGGGCTGAGGAGTGGCCTGTAGGTCTCCCGGACACCCGTCCCCGGGCCCTCTGTGCCTCTCTTCGTGTGAGACCGTGGTTGGTACTGTACAGTGTGAGACTGTCATGCCATGTGCCTGTCCTCGTCGTAACTGTGTGAGACTGTGGGGGCGGGGGTGGGTGGGTATTCTCTGCCCCTCACTGTGACGATACCCGCGGCCTCTGCTGGGGTGCGTGAGCGAGACCGTAGGTTGTGATATCCTAGTGTTTGAGGCTTGGGGGTGTGGGAGAGGGTAACGTGTGAGGTTGTCCATATCCATGGCCTCTAACTGTGGCGTGTTAAGACTGTGGTTGGCACTGTGTTTTTAAGACTCTGGGTATGTCCAGGTGACTGAGTGAGACTGTGTGTGCCACCAGTATCTTTTAAAGCTAGCCAAGCGATGTCAATGTGCCACCAAGTTTTAGAATCACAGATCTCTTGGAAAAGAGGACTGTGGAGTCTGGCAGACTTTATTTGGTCTTGGTGCTGTTATTTATTAGTTGTGTGACTTTACGTAAATGATGAGTACCTTCCTCAGAGTCTGTGTGTGGGAAATCTAGAAAACCTGTTGTTAAAATAATAAATTCAGAAGCAATTTAGGCATGGGGTAAATTGTATGCAAATCCCTAGGTCTCCGTTATGCTCTCTCTATTGGAGGGAAAGTTGCAACAGGAGGAAAGAAAAGGCTAGACTGGTGATTCTGGATGCTTCAAGGAAAGCTTAGTTTCTCATGTTCTTTCCTCATCTCAGTCATCTGAGGACACTGCCATTTCCCAAGAGAAGAACCAAGAGGAAGACAGAATGGCTGTTGCACTTCTTAAAGCCATGTGCCAGGTGAGTTAGTGTTTTCTCTCTTTCCTGAAATATCTTCCTAATTTTCAAAACAAGCAGACATTAACGTTCATTCTGAAACTTTTCTGGGTAAGCAATCATGTCACTTCTCAAAACCCTTCAATGGGATTCCCATCTCATTCGAGATAAATGTCAAAGTCCGTGTCTTGGCCAGCAGGGCACTGTATAATCTGGTCTCTGACTATCCCTCTGACCTCATCCAATTTCTCTCACCCTGTCTGCAACTCATTCACTCAGTTCTAGCCACACTAGCTTCCTTGTAACGAGTTGAATACATTCTTAACAAGTGGCCTTGCACTTGCTGTTTCCTCTGTCTGGAATGATGTTCCCTCAGGTACAGGTACAGGCCAACTTCTTCATTCTAGTCTCTACCCAAACATCATTCATTCATTCAACAAATTTTTATTAAGCACTTATTTAACGTTGGATGCCACAGGGGTTAGTCCGTAGTCCTCCTCTCCACTCCGTCTACACTCACTACTTTGGTGATTTCATCCTGTCTCATGGCTTCAGATATCATCTATGTGCCATCAACTTCCAAACTGTATACAGCCCGGACATCTCTCTCAAACTCCATACTTGTGTATCTGACTGCCTACCCAGCATTCTCATTTGGTTGCATATCTCGAATGCAAATGTCTGTCAAACTGACCAAAATAAGCCATTAGAAGTTTTGAAGCCGTAAGAGTGACAAGATCTAATTCTCATTTTAGTAGGATTACTCTGGCTGCTATTGAGAATAAGCTAAATAGGACAAGGATAGAAACAGGAAAATCAACTAGGAAACTCTTACAAACTTTCCTATCTCTGTTGCTCAAGCTAAAAATCTTCCATTAGGAGGTTCTATTTGTTCTAACTTCAAAATATATCCAGAATCATACCACTTTTTACTACCACCTCTGCTTCCATTCTGTTCTGAACCATCATCTCACCTGGAATTTTGCTATAATTTCCTAACTCGTTTCTCTACTTTTTGCTCTCTTTTAGTCTGTTCTCAACAGAGCAGCCAGAGTGATCCTTTAACACATAAGTCATGTTATCTCATTTTTTTTCACATGGGTGGGTGGTGGGTGGAAATAACAGAGAGCATAGACAACTCTTTCAGATAGTTTAGCTGTAAGAGAAGGAGAGAAATGGGTGGCAACTGAAGTAAAAAGTGTGGTTTACAAGGTTTCAGAAAGACAGGTATATGTCAGTAGACCAGTGTTAAAGATTCAGTGGAAATGAAATTTGAAGATGGAGAGGAGGGAATTGCTGGAAGAATGTGCTTGAGTAGGTGAGAGGAGCTAAGGGATTGTCCTTTGTTAGAAAAGTGGGCTGTTCATTCATAGTAACAGGGACAAGTTAGAGTATATGGCAGAGATGCAGGTATATGTGTATATGTTGTGCTGGAATTTTGTGGAAATTCCCTTGGAATGGCTTCTCTTTTCTTAGTGAAACAGAAAGCAAGATCATCAGCTGAGAGTGAAGATGAGGGAGGAGTATTGAAGGTTTGAGGAGAGAGAAAAGTATCAAATGGTCATTTAAGAGTGGGAGAACGAACAAACTAGGGAAATGTGTCATGTAGGCAGCATTTTGGCCCACTTGAGGTTAGTAATCATGAATTTAAAGTGAGACTAATTAGCATGATTATATGATTTTCTCCAGCAGAGTTCAGCTGTGCAAGGTATAGGCACAGAGTAAGCTGAGAGATGGCTGTGGTTTAACCAAGTGAGTGCAGTTAAGTGAGAGAAGGGCAGGGAAGTTGAATGCATATTCAGGGGGTAATTATAACAAATGGTTGTGCTAGGAGGTGAGGGTATGCAGAGATGAGAACAGTGAAAATGTGGTAAGATCAATCAATTTTAGGTTCTGGTGGAATCAATGGATTATCCTAATTGAGGTATCTGAGGTCAAGAGTTGAAATATAGGAGGTGGAAGTTAGAGTGGGATAATTGAGATTATGGAGGATTTGGCACTTATTGGTAATGACAAGGTCTGGGTCTCATGACCATGGAAGTGAATGACTGTGGAAGTGTGGAGGACAAGATTACTGGAGGAGAGGTGGGTCGGGGAACTGAGAGGCTAGGTTGCTGGCAGCATTATCTTTATGGAAATCGAAATGACCAAAGATTATAGTAGGAATAGTGTTGGAGAGTGACAGTGAGGCAGGTGCTGAAGTGTAATGTAATGACAGAGAATTGGTATCTGCCGAGAATTGGTGGATAAGTGAAACGAAGAGAGATAGTGATTGATATAGTCTGATTTTATGAGATTTAAAACTAGGTGTCTTTTAGGGAGGAGGGGGAGGAAATGGTCTGGAAACAAGTGTGAAAAGCAAAGAGGTCACCTGCTTCTCCTCCAAGTACTGTAGTGCAAGGAATGTGGGAAGTAAAACAGTTACCACATGACAGGGCTTCAGGGGAAGTAGTCCTCTCAGCTGGAAGCCATGTTTCTGTAAGGGCAAAAGTTGAATGGAACTGTGGTTTTGCTTCAGATTGGTTGGATGAAAATTATGAGTGGATTTTGAAAACAGGTATCATCATCATTTGTTAGGGGTCAAATATTTTAAGATTAGAATTTAAGCTCCTTGTATTGACATCGTGATTATTTTTGTTGACTGTATAAATTAACTTGAAAAATCAGTGTCAAAATGTATGTCATATATAAAAAGTATTTATACATTTACTATATATAGTTATAGAAGCTAAGGAAAACATTTTGGGAAGCTTATATACCATATGAATCAAACTGTTAGCAGGCGCAGAGAGGGAGAGATTTATATACCTCTTCATATAATTATATTTAAAAAGGTTACTGAGTATTAAAAAACACTTGAAGAATTTTGCTTCTGTGAAGAGTTTAACTGTGAAAACATATCAAAGGCAATATATATATATATATATATATATATAGCTTTTATTGCCTTAACACATTTACATCTTTTAATTTTATAAAAAATTTAATTGTATGAAAAGTTCATACACTCATACAAAACACATAAGGTTAGTTTCAACAGCAAGTGGTCACATTATACAAACCTGGAATCCAACTGAATCATAGCATAGCTCCAAGTTTTTAAGAACTTTGCCAGCCCCTGTAGGCAGAATCAATATCATGAGTGGAACACTCATTTTTTCTTTACACAAAATTTTAAGAACTCTGAGTTAAAGTTATTGAATTTTAATGGAATTGATTTGCTCTGTTTTGTCTAGCACAATTTTCAGAGATATAGCAAGTACTTTCTGGTGTCATTGTTGATTCCCTTATAACTTATTGAAATTTTCAAACCATTCATACATTAATTCAGTTTATTCAATGAATATTTGAATGCCTCATGTGTGCCAGATACTGGGGATATAGCAGTAACCAAAGCAAAAACATACTCTGCCTCATGGAGGTTACATTTTAGAGGGGTGGGAGGGTGACAATAAATAACAAAATAAGTGCTATGAAGAAAAATAAAGCAGGGTTAGGGGAATAGGGAATTGGGATAGGATCATTGCTATTTTATACAGAATGATCTGAGAAGTGCAGGGGCCCTGAGGGGGAACTAAGTTGACATATTTGAGGATAAAGGAGAGCCCTGTGTGCCTGGGGCAGAGTAAATGAGGTGAGTATGGTAAGAGATGAGCTTATTTCATTTCAGGAATTGGTGACCTTCAGAGATGTGGCTGTAGACTTCTCCCAAGAGGAGTGGGATTGTCTGGATTCTTCTCAAAGGCATTTGTACAGTAATGTGATGTTGGAGAACTACAGGATCTTGGTATCACTGGGTAAGGATGTCTTCCCCTTACAAAGTTGAGCTTCTACTCATAAGGGGCTATTTACTACCACCACTGTGAATTTTTGGATAGCATCTGCAAAGCTTGGCTGAATGTCTGCTGTCTGTGCCAAGCAAATGGTTTAATATTTGTAGAGTTGGCAGTGGGCAGGTCTGTTTTTGACCAATGCTGGAAGCTTCATCTTTTCTATCCTTCTAATACAGGTCCTTTAGACATTTTTGTTTGGCTTACTGTACGCTTCCTCTTCCTTGATCATCAAAGATTAAATGGGAATTCTGGGATATCCATAGCATGACTAAATTCTATTTCTTTTCATATATGCAGGACTTTGCTTTTCCAAGCCAAGTGTGATATTATTGTTGGAACAGGGAAAAGAGCCCTGGATGGTGAAGAGAAAGCTGACAAAAGGCTTGTGCTCAGGTGAGTGAAGAGGAAATAGGCAGGCAGAAACCTTTGCTGGTTACAACTCAGCTTGACTTAAAGGTATCCACCTCTTCACTCTTCTTAGCATGTTATTCTCAAATGTTTTAGGTCTTCATAGAAATGCGGGTCGTTTTAGGATGTTCTCCCACATTTGTTACTCTTAATTGTCTCTCGTCTCACACTTTGCCCTATTCTTTCTAATAACTCATTTATCTATTCTCTAAGTCTATTACCTCACGGTTTCATAAGCCTCTTTTAGTCTTTAAAAAATCTTTTCCTTCTCTGATAAACTTTTGAGCTCTATGGACAGCTGTAAATTAAGTACCAGGTTTGAATCCTGACATTTACATGCATTGGAATTTTAGGAAAGTTAATTAACCTCTGTTTGCTTTTGTCCTCTGCAAAATAGGATAATTACCAGGGGTCTACAAAAAGTTCATGGAAGGATTTGTGTTAACTTTTAATTCAATTTTTTCCATGAATTTTTTGAAGTACTCTTGTACTTTTAAAATGCTTGGAACATTTCTATCCCATAGTATGAACTCAATAGCCTTTAGCTGCTAATAGTAGTAGTGGTAATATATCTCCAAATGCCTCATTTTTCTCTGAATGGTCAGTGAATTCATTCTTTCATTCCTTTAATTAACATTTATTGAATTTGTACTTTAAATAGTTATTGAATATTTATTTATTGAATTTGTCCTTGGAAGGTGCTAGGATGTTAAATATGCATACAAATAATCAAACAGTTGATAGACTAGTAGCAGAGATATGATATAGCTATAAATGGCATTTATAAAGAGAAAACTGACATAAAGGAAACTCAGAGCAACAGGTGAGAGGCAGAGGAGTCTGGGTAACTGGGAAGATGATGGTCTTTAACAAAAACAAAGGTCAGCAGCTAGAAAACATTTGAGGGAGAAGAGAGTAAGAGTTTAGCTTTGTGCTGTGGGAAGGATTTTCAGAGAGACATAGGAAGCATTAAGGTAAAATGGAGGACAAATGGTCTGTCATGTAAACATCTCTGTCAGCACCACTCCCCAGCTCATCCCCTACCCCACGTCCTCAACCCAATCTTTTATGTCTTTGTTCAGTTTTCTAAGAAGAAATTTTGATGTGGAATTGTAATGTCAAAGGATATATGATTAAATTTTATTTTTTAATTATTAAATAAATCACATATGTAAGTATATATTAGCATAGATGTAGTTAAATAGAAATAAAACAAGAAGTCATGTATTTACTTCTTAGCTTAAGAAACAGAAAATTGTCAGTGCCATTTTAGACCCTTGAGGGCCTCTACCTAATAATGCCCATGCTCCATCCCTATTCCTCACTGGGTAACCATTATACTACAATTTTGCTTTTCATTATAGTTGTGATATATATATCTTGTATATATGCCCCTAAAAAAAATGTTTATATATGCATATTCTCAACTTTTTGTGGATAGAAATATATTGTACATGTAATTCTGTGACTTTTTAAATTTTACCTTCCAAAGTGCTTGTGCTGATTTATATTTCTCACAGCTGTGTGTGACAGTACTCATTGCTCCACACTCAGAACTGACAAATTTAAAAATTTATTGTCAACCTGGTGGGTATGAAATCCATGTACTTGTAATCTGAGTTCCCTTGATTACTAAAGAAATTTAGCATCTTTTCATATTAGTAATGGCCATTTGGATTTCTTCTTTGTGTGAAGGGCCTGCTCGAGTCATTTGCTCATTTGGGGGGAATATATATTTATTCGTAGTTTATATTTTTGATATAAACAATATATGTATATGTATATGTAGTTTATATTTTTGATATTTTATTTTAAGAACCTTTCTTATTTCTAAGATCATATAGATATTCCAAAATTATTTAAAGATTTTCCTATGCTGGGCCGGCCCGGTGGCGCATGCTACAGTGCGCCGCTTGGGAGCGTGGCGGCGCTCCTGCCGAGGGTTCGGATCCCACATAGCCGGTCCAGGTCCGGTCCGGGCGCGACAGTGAGGGTTGCGGTCCGTTGCCGGACACGAAAAAAGACAAAAAGGAAAAAAAAAAAAAAAAAAAGATTTTCCTATGCTGATTTATATATTTAGATTCATAATTCAGTAGGAAATTATTTTTGAGGACTTTTTAAAATTAAAAATTAAAATTTCATTTATTCCAAAGAGGTTCATCTCTTAACATACCTGTTACAAATCCTTTTTTTAATCTCCGAGAGAGTTAGCCCTTTGGTCTGAGAATGCATAGGTTTTTATAGTTTCCATACTAGTATTTCTTGCTATTCTCTCAAATTTTTTTAACTTTTGAATGTTTGCTATTTTGAAACATATGTTTTCACTGATCTAAATTCACTTTTCTATACATTTAGCTAGCATTGTTGGCATAAAAGTTGGTTTAAATTGTCATTAGCCTCTAAGGCATCAGATAACTTCTTTATTTTCTATGTCGTCTCTTAAGACATCTTAAGATTAGAATATTCAAAGCTGATTTTACTCTCACTGTGACTCCAAATGTTATGGATTTGTGTTTTCAGCTTCATATTAGAACATAAACTATTCCGGGAATGAGTTTCAATCTCAGAGAGAACCCACAGTATTAGTAAGCTGCTTTAAGCATTTTGTCCCTAATGACATTTAATGCTCTCAAGAGTCATGCATTAAGAGGTGAGGATTATTTGAAGTAAGATTAATTTCTGTGCCTTATGGAAAATCAAATGTCCCAGATGTTTATTGAGTGAATGATCTCTTTTTGCCTATTGTTTTGAATGTTGCCTTTTAAAATAACAAGTTTTAATGTATTATGGGCCTGATTTTGAGCTTTATTCCATTCCATTGAACTCTGTTTCTACTTATACCAGTACCAATGTCTTAATAAAAAAAAAAAACCCTTGTTATGAGACTGAATATCTATTAGGGAAAATCCCTATAGCTTGTTTAGGTCCTTCAGAATTTCTTGTTTACCCTTTGGTCATCTAAATAAAGTTTAGGGTCAGCTTGTCAATTTATACCAGAAAACAACCAAAAACTTTTGACTTTTTTTTTTGGAAGCTGGCTGGTACAGGGAATGAACCCTAGATCTTGGTGTTATCAGCACCACACTCTACCCAACTGAGCTTACTGGCTAGCCCCTAAGCTGTTGACTTCTAATTCAAATTTTATTTATTCTGTAATCAATTTTGGAAATTTTTCTATTCATAAACATGGTATAGCTCTCCTTTTATTTAGGTTTTTTTCATTTCTTTCAGTGTTTTATAATTTTCTTCATGAAGGCCATGCACATCTTCTGTTAGATTAATTCCAAGACACCTTAGTTTTGTTGCGATGTTAAATGTTATCTGTATTTTCTGTTTGTTGCTCATACACAGAAATGAAATTAACTTTATACGTTGATCTTATATCCACCAACCTTGCCAGTCTCTCCTGTTAATGCTAATAATTTTTAGATATTTTTTGGATTTTTTCAGTGGACAGACATCTGTAAGTAATGGCAGTTTCTTCATTTATTTTATTTATTTATTTTAGAACAAATAGATGCTGTTTATTCAGAACTTGTGGGGGAGTCAGCCACCATCACTTGTACTTTTAAAATTTTTTATTATTTATTATTAACAAATTCGTTATTATAAATCATTATTTTTCTTTATGCCCTTTTACCTGACCTGTCTTTATTTTTTTTGTTTTGTTTCTGTTTTTGGCAGGTGGCCAGTACAGAGATCCAAACCCATGACCTTGGTGTCATAAGCCTGCTCTCTAACCAGCTGAGCTAACCGGCCAGACTTAAATTGTCTTTATTTATTTATTTATTTTTTATTAGCGCATTCATTGTTACAAATCATACTTTATCCAATCCCCTTCCTTCAGCCTCCCCCTTTTCCCATCCCCCTTCTCTCTCTAATAACCATAAATTTGTTCTCTCCATCTGATAGATTAACTGTTCCTCTGTTGATTTGTTGCCTATATGATCTGTCCAGTACTGAGACAGGTGTGATCAAGTCCTTCCCTATTATCATAAATCAGATGCTTCTTCTATTACTCTGGAGTGTGCTTTGTGGAAAAAAAGGACCTCTTTTTTTTTTTTTTCGGTTTCCACTGGTGCCTCTCCTTATGTCAATGCAGTAGAGAGTCTGGCATGTCATCTGCATGGTGGCTGTGACTGCTGCTATAGAGACTAGCTGCTTTTGTGACAGCCATGGCAATTGCAGTGGCTATGATGGGCTACCTGCATGAAAATGGTGTTTTTGGTGTGCTCTTTACCTGGTTGCATCTGGGTTTGGCTTTTCCTGGCTCCATACCTCAGGACCCTGGCAGGGCCCGGGGTGGTGGCAGCAGCTTGCCTGTTTGTGGCTGGATTCAGCTTCCCCAGGCTCCATACCTCGGCCCAGAGGGTCACCCAGTAGTTTCTTCATTTTAAATTCTTATGCCTTCAATTTCTTTTTTCTGTTGCTGCATTTTGTATCTCCAGTGAAATATGAACTGAAGTAGTGATAGCAGGCATTCTTGTCTACTAGGGTCTCAATGAGAATACTTCAATATTTTGTTATTAATAATTCTGGTATTTAAAAAGTTTTTGGTAGATACTCTTTCTTTCCTGATTGCTAGAGTTTTGACTGTGGAAAGCTTTTGAGTTTTAACAAATGTTTCTCTGCATCTGTAGATCATTAAATGGTTTTAGTTTTTCATCTGTTAATGTGGTGAATTACATATTACATATTTAATGTTGAACCAACATTGCATTCCTGAGATAAAACCATCTTTATATTTTTTTCATTTATTGCTGGTTTCTACTTACCAATACTTTGTTTAGGTGTTTTGTGTCTTTATTTACCAGTGAGTTTGGCCTTCAATTTTCCCTTCATGTATTCTTCCTGTCAGATTTTAGAATCAATGTCATAAATTCTGTTGGTAAGTAGTTCTCTTTTTCTTCTTTAGAAGGATTTGTATAAAATCAAAATTATTTGTTATCTAAATGTTTGGTGAAACTTAGTTCATCTTGGCCAGG